TTAAATTCACGCTTAGATCTTTCTGTCGTTCTTTTTAAATCGGACATGCTTAACCCTCGCCCGTATAGGGGGGGGGGGGGGTCGAACGGACCCCCCCTGTTTTTCGCGAATAACTCGCGAAAAAGCGGCCGATCGCGACGAAACTTTCAGTACCCTCGCGATAATCAATTTTACACCTATCCTGAAAATTTCATGACCCTGACCCTAATGACCTTTGACCTGTGACCTACTTTTCGAGATCATGTTTGGCCGGAATCGTGATTCGGCGTATGTCGGCTCGCATTAGCCGCGCGTTAGCAGTCTTTTTGTGGTTTCAAGCGTTCAAACATGGGATATGATGTTGCTCCCATGCATTAGGGTGGGTGTCAAGGTCACCGGAAGGTCAGGTCAGGTCATTGACCTTTGATGACCTCGGTTCACTTTTTCGAGTTTTACATGTTTCTAGGCTAGTTTTTGGAGCTGAATTCGAATTTAGCAACCATTTGAACATTTACGAAGCAGTTTTGGTGCCTTCGTAACATGTTACGAAGCTGTCAGAGGCTACTACGAATACCCGGCAAAATCCTTACTGGTTGACCTGACCTGACCCGACCTGGCCTCAATGCATAAAGACATCATCAGTGATCATAGCTAACATGATATTCGTGATCAGCACCCCGAAAAAACCCATAGCAGCCACGTTTTACGACGTTCTAACAGGTCCCGATTTTCCCGACTTTTGGGTCATTGACCTGACCTGGAAGGTCAACCGATAACCTAGGACCTTAACCCGCGCCCTGGTGGGGTCTGTTTATAACGCGACCTGGTGGGGGGGCTATTTTTTGCCCCCCCCCTCGTATCTCCGAAACTACTGGACGGATCCGAAAAATTCAAACGGCGTTCGAAAGGCCTGTCAAATTTGTCGAGGGAAACCAAATTTTATTGACCTCGGGGTCACCGATGACGTCACAGGTCAGGTCAAAGATGAAATGTTTCACCGTTCACGGGTCTTCCAGGGAATGCGCTATAACACCGAGGAAAACGCATTTTGTCGGGAATCAGCGATAGGGCGTCAGTTGCCTAGTAGATATGTTGCTGTTAGAGGTCACTGGTCATACCAGGTCAGGTCACAGGTCAGGTCACCAAAGGTCACCAAGGGTCACCACATGAACCCAACTTTACTAAGGTTATGCGATGCATGTTTTATGGCCAGTTTTTCATTTCCAACTCAATGGTGTTGGTTATAAGACCATCAGGTACGGTTTAGGTCACTTTCTGGTCGAGGTCAGGTCAAGGTCAGGTCAAAAAAGGTCAAATTTCAAAGTTGATATTTTTGCATAAAATGGGTATTGATTCGATGCAGCTCGTCACGGGGAGTCTAATGGTGGTCTTTGTTTTGCGCTACGAGGTCTAGAATTGCTGCAAATTGAGTTTGAAAATTTGACGTCATCAATTTTGAACAGTTTTTTCGCTATAACTTGGCCAAAAAAAGAGGTATCGATCTCAAATTTGGTATGTAGATAGAAGGCGGTAAGGACTATCACATATATTCCGGTTTTTTCGAAATTCAAAAAACTTTTTGGATTTTTTGGCTATTAGATTCAAAAAATCTATTTTTTTGATTTTTGGGGGTCAAATCCAAAAATTTCAAAAATCCGAGATAGCAGTTTTGTAGCCCTGTCTATTCTACAGCTTTTATGTCTGTATCATTTTTCTGTATTTGCAAAGCTATAGGCCTGACAGCTCTTCCCGCGAAACCCTTTTTTTGGTCGAAAACGGCAGAACATGACGTCACTCTGACGTCATTTCCGGGCAACCTATCATAGCCTTTGGAAAAATTTTTGGTCACAATGTGTAAAATTGATGTCCGGGAGGGTACTGAAAGTTTGGTGACGATCGGCGCAGTGGTTCTGGAGATATATCGAAAAGTCTGGAGGGGGGGCAAAAAATAGCCCCCCCCCCCACCAGGGCGCGGGTTAAAAATGGGTATCATCGGCTTCCTCTCGTCGCGGGCAGCACGCTCGTTTTTTCCGCGAAGCTCTAGCTCGATCAGGGGCGAAACGGCAAGGGGGGGGTCCAGTGGACCCCCCCCTTATACGTTCGTGGCTGGAAAAACACCAATACGGGCGAGGGTTAAAAAACAGACCAACTCTTGGCACATAAGTAAGTCTCCTCTAACAAGGAGCGAGGCAACTTACACAATGGGCAAAAGAGATAAGCTCATTAAGACCTTGAGACTTTGCGAGTCGTGCGTCTACTTGGACTCAGACTATAGTTACATGAAATGGACTGTTCTTGGCAGTGTTATCACATGTTATCAGAGTGTGCACCCGCATGTTCATAACATATAAGTTCAAAATATACGAACGAAAAAAGTCTGGACGAAAAAGTTTACAGACGAAAAAATGTACAGACGAAAAAATGCCAGACGAAGAAAAGTCGGACGAAAATCTGCGGACGAAAATCTGCTAGACGAAAAAAACGCCATGGAATCATCTCAACTAGGCGGTGTTTCACGGCCGAGATCAGCACGCCCACGCCGCCATCCGCTCTTGGCACCCTGCCAGGAGCTGACGTTACATTTTGGGGTAGTGTTGGAACTTGGAGATAAGAGTTTGTTTATATCTCCATGGAAACCCCATTTGACACGTGTGATAGCAGCGTGCTGTTATCAGTGAAACCAACACCACCTGATCTCAACCAAGGCAATGTCAACACAATTAGAATTCATAGTCGGCGTGTGAATAAGGGAGCTTTTCCCATATTCAGAAGGTGAGAGTTCCAGTTAGCGCCTCTGCCCCACCCCACTTTCAATAGGATATGGTTGCTTAGCCCACATTCAACCAACGAAGAGGAACATTATTTGCTAATTCCTAATTGTAAATATTTTATGCAGAGGTAAGAACCCTTATTGATAAAATTAATTTAAATAACTGCTTAAATAACAAATTGAAGAATGCTGAATTGTACATTGCGGAGCAGAGTCTCAAAGCGAAGCATCAAAGCCTGACAGTAGGTATTCATCTTGCAGTCAGACTTGAAACTTGAGACTGGCTGTATTAGCCTGTAAATTGGCCAAGACCCTGGTCTTCCAATTTCCATGCAATATGGATGAAATAAATTAAGTTTGATTAGTGATTAATATTGATTTCTTTAGAGTTTTGATATTTTTAAGTGCGATCACGAAGGCAGTGTAATTGCTCACTCCATAGCTAGCTCATAGCTGAAGCATCAAATCCTGAGTTAATTTCCAAGCATGAACTGAAAAGAATTAGAACTGGATCAGCTCAGCTCAGCTAAATCAGCTCAGCTCAATCAGCTCAGCTCAGCTCGCTCAGCTCAGCTCAGCTCAATCAGCTCAGCTCAGCTCGCTCAGCTCAGCTCAGCTCGCTCAGCTCAGCTCAGCTCAATCAGCTCAGCTCAGCTCAATCAGCTCAGCTCAGCTCAGCTCAGCTCAGCTCAGCTCGCTCAGCTCAATCAGCTCAGCTCAGCTCAGCTCGCTCAGCTCAGCTCAGCTCAGCTCAGCTCAGCTCAAGCTCATTCAGCTCAGCTCAGACAGCAGCTCAGCTCAATGCATTACTGAGCCGGCTCAGCTCACAGCTCAACAATTTGGCAAAATGTTGAGCCGGCTCATGAGCTGAGCTGATTTTTGAGCCGGCTCAACTGAGCTGATCACAAGTCTGGTCAGAAAGGTTTCAAACTTGGTGGATTGCATGCTGTTATGGGCGCCTACAAGTTGTATATCTCGGATTTTTTATATCCGTGACCTAAGGTCAGGTCAGTGGCGAAACCTTTCCATTGCAAGTCAATGGAGAAAAATGAAAATGCCTCTAGATCCGTGTGTACGCATCGGAACAGTCAAAATATTTCAGAATCACAATGATTTAGTCCACTCGTGATGACCAAGGCGTCATTTTTGCTGATAGCCTCTAGACAGGTCATCCGAGGTCACTTGAGGCTACAAACAGTTTTTTGCCAATAACTCGCGATTGGAAAGAGATAGAACGCTGGGGATGGTCTCATTGTGTTTGCCTTGTTGAGACGCATCGACTGATATGCAACATGACCTTTTCCGGTAAGGTCATGACCTTGACCTGAGGTCAAATTTTCAACTTGACCTTTCAAGGTCAAATTATAGTTCATTCGACGCGTCTCGGCGAGAGGAACACGATTCTGGCAATAGAAATGTCGTGGCTTTTGGTAGTCGAAAGTTATTGTCGAAAAACACTTTTTGTAAAAACAGCTATTTTTGGACTTTTTGCCCTCTGGAGGCCAAACCGTTGACCTGAGGTCAATATTGATAATAACCTTTTCAAAAGAAGAGTTCAAAAGCTATCGATTGCTTTTCCCTGCGTTATTCTAGCTACCATAGTTCCTGAGATAGCGGCATGTTTTCTGAAAAATATAATGACAATTGGCAAATTTTGACCTTTGATGACCTCTGGTGACCCCAATATTGCTCTAAGGTGAAAAATGACTGAAATACTTTCAAACGTAAGCATTGAGAGCTATCGACTGCTTTTTACCGCGTCTTTCTAGCCCTCTTAGTTTTTGAGTTAGAGGTGGGTGGTAACATATGCCCCCCCTCACTAGGGCGAAGTTGGCTGAGACCGCCACTGGGGCGCGGGTTAAGAAAGGCAACGTATGAAAGTATATGGGCATCTGGTTACATCTTCAGATGATCGAACAGAATAATCAGGTATATGGTTTCTTGTCTAAGCTTTGTCACAAATTATGGGGGGGGGGGGCAAAAAGATACTTTTGCCCCCCACGATTTTGCCAGGGGGGCAGCTGCCCCCCTGCCCCCCCCCCCCCCCGAATCCGCCGCCCCTGTGATAAAGAGTTGTCGAACAGTTTTATTGATCGATTGCTTCTCGCATTCGAGAAGTTTCATCGCGTCATCAGTTTCATCGATTGCTTCTCGTGTGAAGCGTTGAGCTTGGGACTGGCCGGTTAGGCTTTCACTTAGAGGAATGCTCACTACCCAGTGTTTAACAAACCCTCTGCTGTCTCTCCCCCAGGTCCGGCGATCCCGATGGACCCGCACGAGGCGGCACAGGCCATCTTCCCGACCATGGCCCGGCCGCTGCAGAAGTACCTGCGCGTCACCCGCCAGCAGCCGCGCCACACCATGGAGGCGATCCTGGCGCACCTGGCGCAGTGTCTGGCGCACGACCTGGCGCCGCGCGCCTTCCTCGAGCGCTACTTGGCGCCGGCGCCGGTGCTGGAGGGCGAGCGAGAGGCGCGGCCGGTACAGAGCTGGGCGCTGGTATGTGACACGTTACTCTCTCGGCCTGTGGCTGAGGGTACGCTGTTCCAGCTGCGCCAGCACGACGTGTCCCTACTCTGTACCGTGGTGAAGCTGCCGCACTTCAACATCACAGAGGAGATCATAGACCCAAAGTGCAACAAATTCGTGCTACGTCTCAGCAGCGAGACGTCAGTGTAACCGGGGGAAGGGAGGGGAGGGGGAGAGGCGCCCGCCGTGCGCTCGTTTATTTATGTGATGCCTGCCGCGTGCGTTGCGTTTGTTTGTCGCCCGCGTGGATGTGAGACGCGTTCGGTGTGCTTTGAGCGGTGCTCCCTGTTTGGAAGGCCGACCTGCCCGCGACGGATCATGTTCACGAGGTCATCGTTTGTTGATGTCACATATCATCGAGGGCGACGGGGATCGCCGGGAGGTGACTACGAACCGAGTCATGAGCTGTCACACGCACCGCCCGGGCGCCGGGTCACCAGTCAGCAGTGAATTCAGATAAACCCCGCAGTCGGACCAGTCTCGAGGCTCCCTACCTGTTCTAATTGCCCCATAGATAGTGTGCCACCCCTCAGCGTTATAACGCTACTTGGACAGTTTTCCTACAACGTTTCTAGGTCTCCGACAGTACTTCCCCTCTTACCCAGACACCAACTAGGGCCAGTTTCTGTGCTTAGCTCGCGCTCAGTGGAATGGCGGACGGCACTTGGCCGTCAGACGGCAGGGTGGCAGTGCTAGGAGCCAGACTGCTCATCTCGGTGTTCTCGATAGCGATGAAGTGTTGCATGATTTTTGTTCATGTGCTGAGTGGTATAACTGTTTTTACTAGTTCACCGTGACTTTGTTTTGATCGCATGATTTGTCTCGTTTGCCCCAGACAATGTGAGTTTCTGTACAAGAATATTTGTATATTGATGTCCATTTGTACAAATATAATGGATGGCTTCTCCTCTCGTAGAATCTCACGCGCATGCCCGTATTCACTCAGATCGTCCCAGGATTCACTCAGAGCACCCCAGAATTCACTCAGATCGTCCCAGGATTCACACTCAGATCACCAGAGATACATACAGAACCCGGTCACATACACACAACTAAACAACAGCGCTGCTTCCGCGCCCGCACCATACTAATATGCAGCATCTCTGAGAAATCGGCCTCGCATCTGAACAGTGCACTGGAACGGGAGCCCAACTGTCCACTCTCGAGAACACTCATGGACCGGTCAAAGAGCGGCGGGGCGTCCCAAAACGAGCACTGACAGACGCCACATTGCAGTAACAGCGTAAAGTCGACTACAGAATGATGTTCCCACTCCTCAGAAGCTATCAGTTGACCGGAGATCTAAGTTGTGCCGTTTATCACGCAATTAAGCGTGTCGATTGTGAGCATTGGGACAAAGCTATAATTTGTGAACTCAGCCCGTGTGATGCGGCACAGCCTACCACCCCAGGCAAATAATTGTCTGTGAAAAGTGGAACATCAATCTGTAGTCGACTATACGGCGGCGCAGCGGAAAGGCAACAGACCCGGCGCGAGCGACGAGGATAGCAAAAATACGACATCACCCATACAGACAGCCAAGGACCTGATAAACTGTGACAAAACGAGATAGCGAATACGACGGCGAATGGATCAGATTGTGGCTAATCGCTCGGAGCGAGGGAAGAGCCGAGCAGTGAGCGGTAGAGCCACCAAAATTAGGCGATTTCACAGAGGACATATCCCGAACCTTGAACGAAAGCTTCCAGTTCTTTACATATCTGCGGTGGGCATACGCGGCTTTTCGGTTTACTAGTCCTAGATTCCTTACACGATCATCATTTTCATGGAAAATGACAAAATCTCATCTCCTGGGTCTGATTTTCTTCTTGACCCAAGGACAGCACTAACATAATCCCGACTGGCAAAGAACCGACAGCTGGGTTGTGACAAAAATAACACACTGCTGAGCATTTCTAAAGAAACTAAACGTGTTTCTTGTCCGGATCCCAGCAGGGCCGACCAAGGCAAGTAGAGAGCAGTGGCGACCGCAAGCAGGTGTCGATTTGGTGATCTAGTTTACCCAATTTCGGTCCCTCATTCCCGTCTATAGCACAGTGCGTAGCCGAGCGAGACCCCACGACTCCTGTAGCCAGGGCAGGCCCACGCCGTACAACTTGCATGATACACCACGTAGACACCGAGAGCAGGTGCTCAAGTCATCCCCCAGCACGAATTGAGACGGCTGGATACGGACCAGACAGCCGAGGCATCCCGAGACCGCCTGGCCCACGCCACACGTCAAACCAGCGCAACGATCACACTGATGAGCCTTCACAGCAGATCATTATGGAAAAATGTCGCACTCGCCACGATCAGATTATGCCACAGCGTCGCTTGTCTCCAGTTTTCTGGCATCCGGCAGTAGGTAATAGTTCGTCCACCATTGGGTCCCCCAGTAGACTGCCGAACGGCCAAGCTGTCCATCATACTGTCCTGATACATCCCCAGTGCCGTGTCGTGGCTTCCATCTCCACCGGCCGCGCGAATCGCGCCGTAAGTACTAAGCGTATTGAACAAGGCTAACAAGTGGGCAGGCCGCCCGACGCCAGCGCCGTGCGGCGGCCGGGCGGACACTTTGGTTTCGAGACGCGGCCGGCAGGCGGCGGGCCGTCACGAGAGCTGCTGGCTGTTGGAGGCGGCGTGTGAGGACGGGTGCGGCGGCAGGGGTGGCGGCGGCGGCGGTGGCAGCGGGCAGTCGCGACGCAGTCGACGCACGCGCGCTCTCGCCCGGCTGGCGTCGTAAGCGTCGACGACGATCTGTTCGGTGCCCTTGATTTCGGCTCGGCAGAACGGGCAGCCCTGGCCCTCAGAGTCCTGCAGGAGCGCGCAGACAGGTTACCGGAACATTCGAGAGGCGCAGTAGCCCCAAGACACTCGACATAGCAATACACGTACATATGAGGGAATGGTAAAACACTTTCTACGACGAACAATGGCAATACACTTCCAACGACGAACAGCAATGTCACGAACTCGTAACGTAAATGATGCCGTTTACAGTATCAAAGTCATATAGAGATGTCAGGCTGACCCAAAGATGCCCAATGAGTCAATAGCATAGCTCATTAAAGGCAAAGGACACAAACATGACACTGTTAAAGCTCACAAGGACCAGCCAATTCTAAAAAAGACAAGTCATTATAAGGGTGGATCAAACTGTCACAACTGGACAGGGACTGACCGCAATCAATTCTACCACGTTCAGGTCCCATTCTAAAAGCGCTGGGTGGAATTGAACAATTGCACCTCTGGAGATAATTTTTCGTCCCTAGAAATTTAACACCCCACCCCTCAGCCCACCTGCCACGACTGCAGACAGGGTGTGCAGAGCAGGTGTCCGCACGGCTCGATCTTGATATCCTTGTCGTTTTCGGCGCAGATCTTACATAGCTGGAACGTGCTGCCCATGTCGCAGTACAGTTCGTACTGCTCCTGCGTCACCTGAAAACGGCATAAAAAAGTGTTCGTGTCGCTCGTTTTACGGATAGACAGGGCACGTGGAGCCCATAATGCTTCGAAATAGGCGATGATCAGCCGGAAAGGGGTGTGGGATTCATTGGGACTTGACATGTACTGTTTCTGGATCAACTTCACACAAACAACACCGAAAATTCAACCACACACTTACCACACCGAAAATGGGCTAGCGGATCTCACACTCTCCCTGCTCTTCCAACACACATTTTCTGGAATCATGGTAAAAGCAAGATGCAGGACGCTCCGCGGTGCATAGAATAATAGGCGCGATCAGTAACATCGAATGGATCCATTAAACCTTTTTTTCAGCCAGACTCCGACGAATTCACCAAAGTGCACATCCACCCGTGTGACTGACGACCCCGTCTCCCAAGCTTTCGCACAGTAAAACTGCCTCCTATGCCTATCCCTCTCAATCACACACAATAAAATCAGTCCCGCGCTCTCACCCGGATGTGGTCCTCCGGCGTGGCCTGTACGGCCCACGACAGGTCTGGGTTCTCATCCTGTCCGTCCGGGTACAGGTAGAACCGCTCCCGGTGACCGTCCAGCAGGGCCTGACACAGGCTCTTGTTCTGCGGGATCGTCTGGAGGATACTGCCGTCTGTGGTGACGTAGCCGATGGCCCACTGACCCAGTCGGGTGCAGCTTAGACGGAACACGTAGCTGTAACACAGGCGGGAGGGGATGGTAACGCAGTGCTAGTGTGATGGCCCACTGACCCATTCGGGTGCAGCTCAGACGGAACACGTAGCTGTAAACGGCGGGAGCGGGTTGGCGGGCTCAGTGGTCATGTGACTTATTATGTTAAGGGCATATGGTGCCTTTAGTGGCTACGACACAGAGTAAACAATTACCACGACATAATGCATAATATTTTATGGTGGTAGATGCAAGTGTAGAAAGAGAGGATATGATGGGGAATTAATCTGGGTCTGGCACCAAGCGAGAACCAGTGCAGCTTCGAGGAAATAGTGCCACTACCGGGAGGCCAGGGTCAAGAATGCAGCTACCACCAAATCACAACTGAAAAACATTCATGTCACACAACCACAGGAAAAGGAAAAGGCATCTCGTTATCCTTACTTCCCCAACAAGAGCATGTTCAGCACAACTGCACAAAGGGCAGCCCTACTTTTTGAACATTTGAATAGCCCAGCAGAAAAAAAGCTACAGCTCTGCAACAAACAATAAACCACTATCGTAACATATTTAGTGCGGCTCGGCATATTGACATCATAGCTTTGGAATTCGGTTTCACGCTCTGCCCAACTACTCGGCATGCATAATTTAACAGCAGATACGGAACGACGGAACTAAGGCAGTAATGTAAAATGTAAATCGAATGCACGTTGCAGACGTTGGAACTAGGAAGGACAGGAAGGTGATGAGATCTGCGCTTCATGAATCATGAAATAAACAGCAAGCGAATAGAGTTATAAAACAAAACATTAAGTTCCTCTCAGATTAACGATAGCCTGGCCAGAAAAACTGTCAGTACAAAAAAAAAAAAACACTGTCGAGAAGGCGACACCACGCGAGCGTTCAACGCTCGGTGCATGTGCTTATGATATTTGAAAATATATATGGCAGATAGTAGGCATGCAATGCAGAACATGTCATCAAAATTAAAACAGCTGTTCAAGACAGCGAGTTTAATCGGCGTGGCCTGCGAAAGCTCACTTTCCGCGCGGAATGGCTCGAAATTTTATGAGCCTCTATCACAGTAGAACATGCCCACAGACGCGTCGTTTGGCCATAACAAAGCGAATGCGAGCATTTTCGCGTCACCAAATTAACCCTTCCTTCAACAACATGCTGAAGATATTGAGCAGCCTACTCCTCTAGCGGTGCCTCACCTGCCGGGCTTGTCCTTGAAATTGAGCAGCCTGGCCTTCACCTCGTCGTAGGTGAGGAAGGCCACGTATCCCGGGTGTGTGATGGCCAGGATCTGCCAGTTCTTCAGCAGCGTGGTCCACGGCTGGAACAGCCTGAGGGAAGTGAGGGGAAACGTCAGCTGGATATGCCACTGTGAGCCAAGGTGATACATTAACGATACAGGGGTGTGAAAGTGGTGGTGTCCACCTAAAACATTAATTTAATGTGGACATACTACACAGTACAAAGGGAAGGCTAAGCATGCCTCACAAGTGGATCTGGCAGGTTAGCTATCACAATTTCCAGTTCTGTTCTGTTAACCCTCGCCCGCACATGCCATTTTCCCATCCTAGAACGCACATGGGGGGGGGGTTGCAACCCCCCCCCCCCGCGCCATTTCGTTCCTGTTGGAGATAGAGCTTAGCGGTAAAGACCAAAAAGATTCTTTGGGAAGAGACGAATCCAATGATACCCAGTTTTACCTTCTCAGGTCAGTCATTGACCTTCCAGGTCAGGTCAAACTAAAAAATGTTGCTGTTTTAGGTCACCGTTGGATATCAAGTGCGCTGCTTATCAAATACCGATGACGATGCTGTTTTCTGGTGCCAAGCCAGCTAGAACCTCTTTGTCACACTACCCGACCAGAATTTTGCTGCTGAGGTCATTTCAGGTCAAGTTAGGTCAAGGTCAATTATATGTGTTTGTATGTCTGTGTGTGTCTGTGTGTATACTGATGTGTGCACCGATTGTTTTTGGGTCCATATTACATGAAATCATGATCTGAGAAGCTTTTACCAAAAATGCAGTCAAAAAACTTCACTAAAAGTAAATTCAGCTTGCCTAAAACGCAATTATCTTAGATGACCTAGGTTGACCTTGACCCTGACCTTGACCCCTGTACATCGTCGAACAACATGTTCCATGATAGGTGGGAGGTAAGACTGGCAAAAAAGGCCGAAATCAGGGTGTCAAAAGCTCACAAGGCCCATGGCAAACGCAAGATGTTGAGAATTGGCCATTTGGGTCATGACATGACCTGAAAAACAAGGTCATATCTCCGAAACCAAAAATCACAGAAACTTGAAATTTTCAGTGGACATCAAGAAAGAATAGAGGAGCAGCTATACGAAAAATCAGCCCTATAGCTCTAAAAATGTTGAGTGCAGAGCAGAAAGACTACCTGGGGGGGGGGGGTGGCAACCACCCCCCCCATGTGCGGGCGAGGGTTAAGGTCGCAGGTTGCGATTGAGCTGAAATGGGCCTTAGATGATTGTGCAGAATGTTCGTGGCTCAGTAATTTCTTCTCACTTCTTACTGTGTATATAAATGTCAAGCCTCAAGGAGGTAGCAATTGCAAACAGTCACATACCCCCAAAGTATTAGTTTTCCACTGATTGGACTTTGTAAATAAAACTTAAAGCATCTGGCACACAATCTAGAAAAATAGAGCTTAGAGCCTTTTAGTAGATACTGAAATGTACTGAAATACACAATTTCTGTAACTGGAGTATAGATAAACCTCCCTGAAGGTTTTTAACTAATCCTTGTTTCTACAGGGACTGAATGGGACAGCCCAGCATAACTCATTGCACAGCACACCAAACTAAGTACATGTCTTTCATCATGCATAATCCTTTGCAGCATCATTCTATCTTACCTGGTGAAGACATCAAACTCAAAGTTTGAGATGTAGTCATTGCAGGTGAGGTCTATGGTGGTTTTCAGCGCCATTGTCTCCAGCCCGGGGTTGATGGGATGCACCTCATCGAGCCGCTCTTTGAACACCTTCCATGGCACCAATGTCCTAAAAAAGCAGTCATTGTAGGTAAAAAGTCAGATTGGCACATAACACAGATAGTTACTCAACCCAAACTTACCAAACACTGAAACACTCTATCACAAGTGTACTTGGATCTCCAACGGAAGAATGAATAAAGCCTAGTTGAAATGATAAATAAGCTTTGCAATTAAAAGTGAAAACTTAACCTTGAGTAGAAACTAAAAAATGGATTCTTCATCTTTTATATTATCACTATTCAAGTTCAGTAGGCGGAACTATGGTCATGAGTTCCCAAATATAGGAACGTTCCCATTTTTGGGAACGGAGTTCCCAAATATGGGAACGGGCGTTCCCATTTATGAGAACGGAAGGCAATTTTTCGGCCGTTCGCCCACTAAAACTCAAAAGTGCATCACGTCTCAAAAAAGTGCACGCTGATTTAAGTATCTACTAAATCTCCATAAAGTTATCTTTAATCTGACCGTGGAACAAGGAAATTGACCGTGGAATGATATTTTTAATGATTTTTTAAAAATGGCAGAATGGTGGAAATATGGGTTACATGACATTTAGCATGCAATTTTAAGGAAAATGAAGCATTTTTTACATTTTGAGGTCAAGTATAATAATTTTCGCCTGGTTATGAAGTTTCATTCTAGCGACACCAGATGCTGACATATGCAAGCGAACACGCGGACAGTCCCGAGGTAATATTGTTGACTTTTGGTGTCGGGGCGATCGACCGCGTGGAACGTCAGTGATTTTACCGAACTACTGTTGTAAACTCAGTTTCAGTGGTTTAAAATCATTCAGCTGTATTTTATCAGTCCTGAAAGACATATTTTATTTGGATGCTAGCTGTTTAGCGTTGTTTTATAAGCAGCGTCATGAGCGTGGTTTTTGTCTTCGGCGTTTCTAAGCATGATCGTTTGGGGGGATTTTCTCTGATATAGGTCGCTCTGTGTGGCTTATTTATAATTTTTATGCTGATTTCGATCATTCCTCGTGCCCATCCTACCAGGCCTTTTGCCACTTACACTCATTAAGAAAGAAAAAAACTAGATTTTCATTGGGACTAGGTGTTTTGAGGGTGTAACGGGTGTAACATATTCAGCGTTCCCATTTTTGGATACTTCTTGTGCTCGTCAACTCTCGGTGATTAGCAGACAGGTGCTTGACATGTCTCCACCCTCGGCGCGGACGGTGGATATAGGTATGGAAGACCTTGTTGAACATCGCTGAGCGTTGTGGATTACGTAATCCTGCAGAGGGGGGCGTGCCCGCTGCGAGATCGACGGGAATAAAAGCGCAGAAGACCGGGCGAAACATGCAACGGTCTTGCCGGAAAGGTCATCTGATGATTGTTGCGTTAACAATAATTTGCGGCGTTGGACGTGATGCTTGTTAATGAAAAGAGCCCCTGAAAGGCGTCGGTGAAATCGTTCCCAATTTTGGGTACGCCGTTCCCATAATAAGGAACGCTTGCAGCGCCAGTGTACGAGAGCGTTCCCAAATTTGGGCTCGCGGCCCGGGTGATGGACTGCTTTAGAAATAGGGGAACGATTTGAAACTACGATGGGCCTTACAATATCAAACTCTTTCCCAACAATATTGAGACAACTATCAGGCGGTTCACGATCGTTTTATATTTTTTGGACGTCATTTAACGGTTCTTTTTCTTGTTTTAAATAATGCCTACATGGCGTTCCCATATTTGGGTTTATCGTTCCCAAACATGGGAACGAAAATGCGTTCCCGAAAATGGGTACGCTTGACCATAGTTCCGCCTACTGAGTTATTAAATTCAGGTAGAAACTAGTAAGAATAAGTAATAAGTAAACAAGCAATAAGGTTTACCTTTCTCCAAAGTACATCTTCCAGAAGTCTGCTGCATCACTCTTTGTGACTCTGAACTGGTCACCCATGAACACATGTTCTGGGAATATTGCACGCAGCTCCGAGAGCATGTGTGAGAACACGAGAGACAGCTTTGTGAGATTCCTCCTGTACACAGAGTTCTCATCATACATTTGCTCCTTTCCATCCCTAAAGTGCTTTTCTGCTTGGCGACACTTTTTCATCAGATTCTCAATGAAGACCCTGAAGTACTCATTGTTGTTGAGAACTTCCAGATCTTCATAGCGGCTGCATATCTCCTTCAAATGTGTGTAAGTGTCTGGCAGAATATCCAACAAAAAAGGTGGAGAGTTCTTCAGATTCATTCTTGGATGCTGGCAGAGTTTGACTACTCTATCCATGAGCTTATACGTCTTCTCTATTGTCCTCCTTTCAATGATCAATCTCGGTGGTCCCATCTTGTCAGCAATAGCGCCATGAATCTTACTCATAAGTGATGATTTGGAACTAGGTCTTGTCAAAGCCATTTTATTTGTGTGACTCCGGAAAATGTATCAAATGGGCTTTTCAAAAGCTTCCAGCTTCAGTGATACGACACTGTTGAGAGAAAATATGCTTCCTTCATGTCAAGTTAACTGGCTTTGAAAGCAGAATTATAGCTGGACAAAGAAATATTTTGTATCAATATGCACTGCAGCCTATCCCAGCTGATTCACACTGCAAACAATATAAATTATAACTCAGTTAATCAACCAATTATACCCCCGCGCTCTCACACACACAACACCCGCCGCTTTCTCAGCGCTTGTCGAAATCCATAAATGCCGCAATTGTCTTGGAGTCAAGGATGCCTAATTGTATCACAAATTTGCAGCAGGTTTTCAAACGCCTTGACCCCTCTGCTTTCACCCAAACACGCAATGGTCATTCAAAATAGCGACTCTCATGTAATGATTAAGAAAAAACAAAAAATATCTTTAAGTCAGGCACCGCTAGCATTTTCAAGCTTAGAGCAAAGACATTCAAAGTTACCAGCAACATTTTGCAGCTAATTACTTGGTGGGCGGAGCGTGTCGCTATGGCAACGTCAATATTTACATTGAACAGCTGATGGCCGGAAACTCTTAACTTATACGGCCTTGCGGAAACTTGCTTGGAAAGCCTCGTAAGCCAAGCCGGAAGCCAATGGAAAACGGTGTTCCCGGTGCTCTGGGGCATTTCCCGAGGGCCAAGACTTTTTGGATTTGTGCATCACTGGAAGAAGAAGCATAGTATATTTATCGTTTCGGATTGGATCATCTGCACATCAACATGTCATGTCATGTAGGTATTCGTTGGACTCCATCGACGATCTGTGTTCGGGCTTTTCCCTGACTTTTATGATTTACTTGATTTGATATGTGAGACCTTCATGATGTCATTGTCATGTTGTCTTTTGGGAACCATTTTGAATAGGGGCAAGGCCCTATATACCAATAGGGGTAGATAAATTTTACCAGGCAATCAGCGAGACCGACATTGTAATAGTCCAGGATGTTCTTTTTTTACCAAGCTCTCCCCCCTCTCTCTCTCTCTCTCTCTCTCTCTCTCTCTCTCTCTCTCTCTCTCTCTCTCTCTCTCTCTCTCTCTCTCTCTTCAGCTTGATCGTGTCCAGTCCTGATCAAGTTCGGGAGCGATGTCGGGAGACAGAAGACTGTCGGAGATGCCACGTCGAGATCCTTCCGGCGGCAGCGGCGGCCCGTCGCATGGCAGCTCGGGGGCCTCGGCACGCTCCCTGGGTCTGCCGTACTTGCCACCGACAAACCCGGCCATGGCGCGTCAGCTGCAGGAGCGGCTGCTGGTGCCACCCGGTCTCAAGGAGCGACTAAGACAGGACCCGCTGCGGCTCCCGCGAGCTCCCGGAGCTATTGCACCGGGAAAGAAATCGACCCGACCCTTCCAGCTATCGCCACTGGTGAGATGATCCTCGCCGATCGCACTTCTCGACGCATATCAACTGCACGGTTAAAAGATGCATTCATCTTTATTCGCAGGTCGTAAGGATGTTTTCGTCCTTTCACCGTCCTTCCCATATCTCCGATAGACCATATCAGAAAAAGTGTAGCTGACATTGACATTGAGTAACTACTTGACGTAGAAATATGACTGGCGTGGATAGCATCGACTTTCGAAAACAACTATGCATTTTAACGACGACTCCATTAAACTTTGTTCCGTTACGTGAAGATGAAACCATCACCGATTCCACCGTATCCAGCTAATACCCCGATCCATGCACAGGAATGGCCCGGACAAATCCGAAGTGGCAAGCGCGGTCACGGCTGCGCGTCTTACGAAGACATTCTCAAAGCTTCTTCGAAGAAAACCAAGACTAAGACGAAACACACATCTTCTGTCGGTAAGTAAACAAAACGAAATACGGGCCACCACTGACATGAATGACGTTCTGCTGATAGCATCGCATTCTCGATATATACACGTATCGGAATGCGTCATTGTGGCTGAAACAGACCCTTCCCACAGCCTGGCATGGACCTATGTGCCAGCGAGAGCATATGTATATATTTTAATAGGCTTTTGCATGCGACTTCCTTCCTCCCGAAAGTCTGTTTCAACCCCCGCACCTGTCCCGTTTGTCTGGCAGCCGTGTCGGGCCGCGGCAGCGAGCAGCGGCCGGCCGGCTCCCGGCTGAGCTCGGTAGGTGCCGGAGCCGCCTCTGAGAGCTCCGGCACCTCGGCCTCCACCGAGCTGAGCGCCGGCTCCGTGCAGCTGGACGAGGTGCCCCAGGACGTGGCCTGCATTATTGATAAGGTCCGAAAGGACGCACGCGTCGGCTTCTTCTACCTGGTGGCGTCAGTGCCGACGTACGCCGTGGAGCGGCACTACTACTGCCTCAAGTGAGTCCGCCGCCGCGCGGGGAGTGGGAAAAGATGGGATCCGTGGTGCATAATAGTTATATTGCAGAATAGATGCTAAACCAGGCGACGATAACTGTAAGCGTTGACGAGTTGGTGCCTCGGGAACGGCTGATAATCTGCATCCCGAGTATGAGTGGGCGCAGGCCCAGTGACATTCTTTTCATAATAATGTCTTTTAGCCGATATTCGTAGTTCATTTCGATCTATTTATGATTATCGTTGTATCAGTTAGTTGAAGTATGATTCTAGTCTCTAACGGTACCTACGTAGACGGCACTAACCCGAGCTGGTTGCTTTGGCCAGGGTGGCGCCCTACTCGGCGATCGACCCAGAGGAGTACTTCACGATCAGCAAGCACGGCGTCACCCACGTGCTGAACAAGGAGGCCGACTTCGTACCGCTACCCGAGTGGGAGCGAGACTACATCATGTTCCAGAAACTCGCCAGGGTAAGGACCTAAACGTGTGTATTCCTTTAGGGTAAAATGGAGTAGGATTGCAATTTGCAAGTCAGTCGGACCCGAGGGGATCCGGAGTTAGGTGTAAGAAGGGAGAAAATTGAAGTGTTCGGCATCAATATGGCAAACTCGAAACATAATACCGATGTAGTTTTATCGGGGTAGTTCGGATTATAGCTCACGTGACAGTCCGCAGTAGCATCACGATTCACGTATCTACCACCTAATACATGGTACCTACGTTATAAACTTTCCCGTCGTGTGACAGTGTGAATTTCACGCGCTTGTTACTTGGGCATAACTCCATTTACCCTCCTCCCTCCCGGCCGGCAGATCCGCACGTTCCGTCAGTTCCGCATGTGGAAACAGTTCGCCCAGTGGCGGGTGAACGTGCGCTGGTGCAAATTCCACCTGGCGCAGCGCAGCCTCTCGCAGAACCTCTTCATCCTCCAGCCGTGCCTGCGAGCCGCCCTGCTGGCCGTGCGACATCTCTGCAACGCCGTGGCCACCCTGGGCATCGTGGACATTGACGATACCAACATCTACACATTAGACAACGTGAGCTGCGCGGTCACTCGGGCGTCTGAAATTATTCTTTATTGGAAGTTGCGATAACATCTGCGAATATAGGTAGCGTTCGCATAAAATAATTGTATGTGTAGTCAGTATTATGTCTGTACGATCTTTTCCGTTGATAATGATCTATTTTATCCTCTGTCATCCACTATGCTTATCACAGCTTCCGCGCTTACTCTCTCCCACTCTAGCTTATCCCTCCTTCTTTCCTTTTTCTCCCTTCTCTCTGTTATCTCTCCGACCTATGTTTATATCGTCGTAACTCCTCTCTGCTGTTACCGCCTCCCGCAGTTTATTCAGGCCGAGTCGGACCAGCTGAGCAGCGTACAGCACTTTCCCTTCTCAGTTCTCTCTCATGACACTACATCAGTGTGCCCCGGCAGTGCCAGACAGTGGCAGTACGTCGTGACTCCGCTCTGCTGCCCACCCACAGTTTATCCAGGCCGAGTCGGATCAGTTGAGCAGCGTGCAGGACTCGCTGGCCGAGTTCCGCCGACTTGTGCGCGACATTGTCCAGACAGCCTGCAACACGGCAATGCTGGAGGCCGGCTTCCCCACCGAGGAGTACATCGAGGAGCTCGCCCTGGCAGTGAAATGCGGTATGGAACGCGGGCGGTCTTCGGTAGCTGCTGCAATGGACAGACTGTGCAATGTGCATGGTAGTTCGGTGGCGGGGCTGACTGTGGATGGGCACTGTGAGACAAAGCCTCGGATAACATGCTGCATCACGGCGTCTATCTATATGATCGCGACGGAGTGTTGAATGTTGATTTACTGCTCCACGGTTAGTGCTTTGAAGAACGTCCCATTTGTTTATGCGATTAAAAACAGGCCTTAAAACAGGCCTTTGAAACAGGTCTTTGATCGCACTCTGACTGACCCCTTATCTGCTTATGTATACAACTCAGGTCATACCCGTGCAACATCGTACATTCATACCATTCCGTTTGTGTGAAGCGCATGCAACATGCGCTGAAAAATACACGCGAAAACGTCTGAATAAAAAGATGATGTTGAGTAGCTACGTAGTTTGACCGCGATCCATTTTGAACATATCGTTGTTAAGGACGATACGTGTACGACGAGCCTTGCTCCCTTCCTCTCACCCTCCCACCACTGCAGGTCAGACGGTGTGGAAGACCAAGCTGCACATGGACCCGCAGCAGTGTCTGGCGCTGTTCAAAGTCGGCGACTACTCGCAGCAGATGTCGTTCACCGAACAGGCCGACAAGCGGCGCCAGTGCCAGCGGCTCACCAGGTCAGAACAACGGCGGCTGCGATATGGACGTGTCGCGCTGGAATCGTTAACCTCGCACATATGCCTATTAAAAGTCGCAGAGCTATGTTTAATTTGCATATACAATTTTCGAAAACCTTAGTACGAAGCACACATTTCACTGTTTCATCTGACTTTGTGAAGCTTAGTAACGAGATGTCCAACTCATTACCCGTGTTACACGACGTGGGTATGTATTTTGTGTCACCTGTTGCCGTTTGGTGCAGGTATGCGTCATTTTCATGATACTCTATTCTCTTCCTTCGGCAGGTTCATCTACACGATAGACCTGATCCTGATGACGTGCAAGCACCAGCTGGTGAAGAACACGCTGTGTTACATGGAGCGGGCGCTGTCGAGTCGCGTCGAGCGCATCCCGCCCGAGGACCAGCTGATCATCGAGCTGACGGCCAAACCGGCCGACAAACCAAAGACGGAGGCCAAAAAACCGACGGGCCCCTCCAACGAGCCGCCGGTAAGTGCATGGGTGTTTTTGTAGTGAAAGTAGCGATACCCAAAACGGCTATATCGGGTCTTAAGTCTGGATCAGCTTGTAAAGCCTAGCTCGTATTGCAATTTTTACTTTAAGAACAATTTGACATCATCATAAATATGTACGCGTTCACGATTTTGCCTTGCACCATTAAAAAAAAAACATACAAACCATACGAGTATTTAATTCGCCTTCAGCGCCATATATTTAAATGTCTCATCTCCCGTCCATTGAACCTTGTTCCCTTCTGTGGCCCGCACTATGAACCGCCTACCGCCGTGCGCCGTCTGCAGCCGCCACCGGAGCCGTCGCCGGAGCCCCCGGAGCCGCCGGAGCCGGGCGAGGAGCCCGAGACGCCCGCCGAGCCCCTGTTCCTCACGTCGCTCGAGTTTCGCGGCGCCGTGCCGCGCCTGGTGCCGCCCATCAAGGAGTTCCGGCTCACTGTGGAGAAGCTGCTCACCAGCAGCAGAGAGCTGGTCGAGAACATGGAGAACCTCTTCACTGACGACACATTCATGTTCATCACTAGGTCGGTCACTAGTCAGGGTGGCTGGACTGGATGATAAATCAACCCATACAATAGATGATCAGTTATACCTGAATAGGTGGATTATCAAATCTTCTACACTTGCCGAAAAAGAGCGAAATAATGTTATTTGCGTTCGAATCGCATATGCTACTTTTAACTTAGAGTACTTCACAATCAAAACGAACCCAAACAGGCAAAAAGCTAACTTCGCTGTTCCGTACTTTCATAAGCCGGCTAATGACCTTTGCACGACAGACCGACCATAAACGGGAAGACGCTGGGCAGTGACGACCAGGAGGGTCCCGACCTGGAGGACGTGCTGGACTCGGACGAACAGATGGCCGACGTGTCCACACACATCACCGAGATGGTGGTGGTCGGATTCCAGGTGGGTGAAGGAAGGGCGCCCGGGACAAAAACGGGGCTGGAGGGGGCGACAGGGCGTCGATTGTCCGAGTCGAGATGGAAGGATATCGCTTTTGCTTTCTCGGCGATTTTAGATAATTGTGTGTTTTGCATGATTCGTGTGGAGGGTTGCAGCCAATAGGTAGCTTAGCCATACCGGTATGTAGCGTCGTTGATAACGGGAACCTAGCTGCAGCGTTGTCGGTATTCTATGCTGACAGGCGGCGGAGACCTACATCCAGACGTTCGAGCATGTCAAGGAGTGGTTCTACGAGAACATGCGGACCGACATGACGTCTTTTGCCACCATCGGCTGCGGTAGGTAGTACTTACGACTGTGAAATTATGGGAGGGTAGTGATTGTCGTTTGAACTTATTTGCTCATCGAGGTAACGATTTATCGTTGTGTAACGATACAATCACTATGTGTCATACGTTGCAACATGGAAGATCACCTAGGCTGTATGCGTATTGAGTGTGTTCATTCTGTGCGTTCCTTCAGCCCCGGATCACCCGTATCTGTTCTCATCGACCACAGACCTGGACCAGTTCGGCTCGGCGCTGGCTAAATTCACCAGTCAGGTGAACGAGGTCAAGAACATCCCCGTCGACCGCAAACTGGGCGTGTTCTGCGTGAACGCTACAGATGTGCGCGACATGGTGCGACCCTCGCCCGAGCAC